GAATTGCAATTAAGTACAGGCAACTACATATTCAACTTCATAGATCAAGTTCTGATAGTTTCTCAGTTCATTGAGGTCGTGGAAATGCAGTTCAAAGGCAAATTTTTTCGAATATAACCTTATCTAACTTTATCTAAATATCTCTTTAAATGCAGTTATAATTTATTCAATTGCAATAAGACTATCTGATAATAAAACGTATAACAAAATTTGACTGTGTTTTCTTTACAAGTTATCACATATCAAATTTATTAACACGAGATCTTATAACAGCTAGATAATAGCTATAGAATATTGCAGTCTGAAGATTCTTTTTTTTTCATTCATTTAGTCCACTTTCAGTTCCCCCTGCTGCCCCACGCCCCTACAGAGTAGATTGAGTAAAGTGCAATAGCCCATCAAAGGCAATAAACAACAACAATAAACAATATGTGTACATGCAATGATTATGAGTTTGGGGAACCTCAAGTAACTGGCACAATGTGCGCATATTGAATGCGCTGGCAACTTCGATGCCGCTGTCGATGCCGCTGCCGATACCGATGCCAATTCCGATGCCTACAACGATTCCCCATTCCGAGTACGTAGCTCAACGTTTCGACTTAAGCTCTACGAACTAATTTTGATACGCGTCGCGTGACACATTTTTCAAGTGTCCAAGAAGGCAGTTTGATGGGTCAGTGGAGGGGAGGTTGGTCGGGGACTAGGGCGAGGCAGCCCAGGGGCACAGGAAGTGCACAGACTTGGAGCGGCTTTTGACTGAGCATACACAAAAAAAAGCTCATAATTAATATGGAGAACGTTGACAGTTGTCGTAAATGGTGAACCAACTTCCGATCGACAGCTCAACTCAAATTTGGCAGAACTCCCCAACCCGCACACCACACACCACACACCGCAACACACAGCCCGCCCAAGAGCAATGGACTACAGGGGACGCGCGGGAGGGGGGGGGGGGAGCGTTGCTGCAGGTGCCTGACTGCCTGGAAATTATTGATGCGCATGGCAATTGCCACCTGTGGCGGGGCATAACAAACAAATAAACAAAAGAAGCCACCACAGAGAGAGAAAGAGAGAGAGAGGGAGAGAGAGGGAGAGTGAGAGATGGAGTGAGGCAAGCAGCAGCGAGTTAGAGAATGTTAACATTAAAAAACCGACCTGTCGAATACCTTATCAAGTGGAAGAACTCGAATACGGCACTTGCCGCTTTTATGAAATTCCAAAAATCCGCTGAGACAAATTCAATTTGTGCTTATTTCCATATCTATCTCTTTATCTAAGTTTATTTGCTTTTCTCCTATTAGCATCAATATGTTTTATTTCGACTTACATCATTAGCTCTCTATTTATTTATTCTTATAGCTCATGCTCATACTTCTGCTTCCTCTTATACATTTCTTGTTATATATAATATATACATATGTATATATCTTTTATATATAATATATATTTCTACTTTTATAAGTATATTTAATAATTTAAAGCAGTTTAGCTTACGCATTACATAATCTTTTGCTGTTAAAGTGACGCTGTTATGTAAACTTTACAATTTACATTGCTTAACAGAATAATGTTAATACCAAAGTAATGTTAATGTTCGACAGCTGGCAATTATTCAATTTACTAACCTGCTCATAAAGTCATGTTACCCAAACGCACTCTCAAGTCAGTTAACTGAAAAATTGTAAGAAAAAAAAGAGCGAGAGACAAAAATAAATAAAATGTCGTTGGAAGGAAATCCCATTAATGACAAAATCGATAAATTAATTTGTTTTCATCGTCAAAATGCATAAATAAATGTAAATAAACAAATCACACGCATAAACACACACTCACACACACATATACACACGGAGCACACACACAAAATGCCGTTAAGTTAAATATTGTCGTGTAGCTTTATTTTTGTTGTGTGTTGTTATTTGGTTGCTGCTGCTGTCAGATTTAGAAAAACGAAATTAATGCAGTTCCATTCCACTTCTCAGACGAAATCAATAACTTAATAAATTGCTTAATAATATGCGCACACAAACGCAACGGGTGGTGTTCGCTGTAGACTTTGCTTTTACTCAATGAAGCTCTGTTGACACTTAAATGAAAATCTCCATCAGTTATTCAGCCCAAGATCGATGAAGATAATGCAAAAGATATACGATATGGATTTGAACGGACGATGAAATTATGGTAAATCTCAAGTCTGTTTGATCAATTGCACAAACTGAACCCAACCAAATAGTTTGCAAAGCTCTTTTCTATGCACTTTTGTAAGCAGAATTTGTTTGTGATTCACAAGTGGTTCTAGCATTTGGCTACTCATAGCGCAAGTTGGTAAATTGTAGAGTTGTGCATGCAATTCAGATACCTTGAGTATGAGTTGCTACCTTAGAAGTCTTCTAGTCTGCATTTTACAATGTGAGAATATGTTGAGAATGTCTCCTTTTTGGTTGAGAATTCAGACATTATCTAATGGTATGCGAATAATTTACAATTATTATACATGATTAATTTATACATGTAATGAGAGAAATTATTTTAGATCCTAAAAAGCGTTCGCTTGAGCTCGAAAGTTTCTTAGAGAGAGAGAGAGAGGGAGAGAGAGACACAGAGGGAGAGACAGATAGAGAGAGAGAAAGATCAGAGCTCGCTTTACTTTATTCAATGGCCAAATATTTCCCAGTTCTTCTCACAAATTAACAGGCACAGCATGAATTTTACTATTTGCAAAGGCAACTAAGTTTCATTTAGAGTTGATAAGTATTTTTTTTTTTAATTTTCTGTGCTTTGGCAACACCAGCATTTTAACATCTGGGATTTGACATATTCATTAAAGTGACTGGGAAAAATGAATTTCTAGCAAGGAATGAAATTCACCTGTGAAAACTGCTCGCTCAATGATTGATTACGATGTGCAAAATGGTTTGAGCAAAAGTGCATCAATCATCGGCTTTGACTTTTAGCGATGAAGCCACAGTGAAACACTGTTACGATGATTTCAATTGCACTCCAAAGACGGCCCGCGAAACGATTCATCAACTACATCAGTTGCCAGCACTTCCTGTAAGAAAAAAACGTGAGTTTTGGCCATGCTTGGGGCATTTGATATTTAAAAAGCCGCTTATTTGACAGGCGCCCACCACTGCGTGCTTTCAAAATGGGCTCAAGCTGGTCAACATGGCCGAATGCTGTTTATAATTCGCAAGTGTTTCAAGCGTGCGCTCATACAAATGCGTCAATTGGGATTTGTCAGCAGCCGCTCGGGCGAAACACTTCTTAAACTTGTGCTGAAACCTTTTTGCGCTCGGCATAAGGCCATTTGCAGAATTTGCGAGTGTTTTGTTTCGTTCTCAGCGGGCAGCTTGTTATCAATTGCAAAAGGCAACTGTAAATGGCATTAATGCAGCCAGTTGCGGCAGCCGGCCGGCCGCAATGTGACAAGCGGATTATGCAATCATATGCTCAGATAGATGGTAGAGATCGCATAGATCCATCAATTGGCTGCTGCTTGCAGCCCGGAAAAGTCAATCTGGAAGACTGGGAAAGAGACGACTGCCTCCAGCCCGCAAGAACTTGGGGGGGAGGCAAATGCAAATGAAACGGGGGCCAACAATTTGCCACATTGATATTTAAATATGCCGTTGCATTAATCATCAAATTACTCGCACAAACACTCGCAGAGCATTTAAAATCATATTAAAAGGGGAGCGGCGCGCTTAACGCATAGTCGAAGTTTAAATACCCTTGCTTTACACAAAAACTAAATCATCAGTAAAAACTGAAACTGCATTCTAGAATCTAACCTTTGAGAGAACATTTTGTGAAAATGTTATGTAAAGTAAAAAGCGAGCATTGAATGTGTCTCATGAATATAATAATCAATCAGTTTTTATTGCCAGCTATTATAAATGGCACTTCCACCAAGTTTCATAAACATAGCCCAACTGCGAGTGTAGTTAAAAGAGAATAGTTTGATATAAATACAACTTGTTCTACTAATGACCTGACAGGCACAAACCTGAGAAGCTTCTTATTCCATGTAAGTGCACGCTTCGCAGGCATTTTGAAAAATTCCACCCGTAAGTGTGAAAGATAAGTGAAAAACGGAAATAATTTGATCGGGTTTTTACAATTTTTGAAAAATCCTTCTACGCCTACTCGCTGGCAAATGGGGATTAAAAGCATCAAAGCGGGCTAAGTTGCAAAGTGGAACTGACATGGGCTCATGTGTTGCATAGTTGCTGACAAATAAAATATGGCATATATGTAGGGTATTTGCTGCGGCTGTTGATTCTGCTGCTGCTGGAGCTGTTGCTGTTGCTATTGCTGGTGCAGCTGATGTATTTGCAATACTTGGCTATGTCGTGTCATGTCATGTCGTGTCCGCTCTTGACACTCATTAGCCGGACTCGAAGAGTCCCATTCAAATGCACAAGCAACGTCTCAATGGAGCGTGGACTACATAGAGTCAGAATGAGTCTATTTCTAGCTGCTGACTGAGCACACACCCCCTTCCTTTTGTTCTGATCGTTTAATTGAAATAATTTTCTATAATTAAACAATTAAATCAGTAAATCAGCAAAATCAACGCTTGAGCTGTGAGTAATGGCATTTTGGCATCTCTCTGAGTTGAATCAACATTGAACCAAGTCACGAACAAATGAGTCAAAAGTCGTACACTGCGATTGCAACTCGGTTCAAAGTTCTAGTTTTCCCTTGTCTTTTCAAATTCCGAGAACATTTTGTTCTTGGACATGCCGCAATTAAAAACAACCTTAACATGAACACGTGTGTAGAGAATAAGAGCACATGTTGTCTTTACAGGGGTTCGATCCCTTAACCTTGTGCTCTTTCGGCCCACATTTGGGCCTACAAAATAGTGTCGAATTTTTCAGCTTGTTCCGATTTTGACAAGATTTATATATTTATATATATTTATATATATATGTGAATACAGATCAGAGTTTTCACTGTAAAATCTAACACAGTAATCAGATTTAGAGATTGTAGTTAATTTCCCAGGCCCCCCAAAAAAAAAAAAACACCTGTACATATATGTGCATATATATATGTTATGTATTGTTTTAGTCCAAATTCATTGTTTGTATCATGTTGGGACTGCGACTGATGCTTAGGCTATTACCGCTATTGCTGTTGCGTGGAGCTCTTGCAGAAACAACAAAAAAGCCCGTTTTCGAGTTGCCGGAACGCTGCAAATATCTAAAGGACTCAAAAGAGCTGATGCACCTGAGGTGCAAAGGTAATTTCCCGCTGGTGGCATATACCAAATTCCGTGATACCTTTATGAAGCAGACCGATCGTATGGCTCTTTTTATGCCCAACTCTATGGATTATGTGATGGTTGCGCTCAAGGAATCCGAACTGCATGACTGCGATAGCATTCGACTGATTGAGGTCAATGAGTATATATGCTACCCGAAGGATGGCGGCAAGCGAACCGTCAAACTGAGATCGGCTCGAATGTATTGCTTTCCATTTCATATACAATTGCCCGATGATCTGATGCATGAGTGCTTGGATCAGAAGATGCAGTCCTCTAGGTCTGCGTTGCAGGCCAGCGTGCTGAGGACCAAACGCGGCATCATACACTACACGTTCGACCATGATTCGGCTGTTCAATATTTACTGCCCAAACAAATTGCCATTTTTCTAACAATATTGATTCTATCAATGCTTCTATATTTCTAAATTGAAGATGACAGGATTCGAATTGCGAGCAGCGAATGCGAATGCGAACAAGCGATGAGTGACAAGTAACGAGAGAGAAGCAGCTAGAAGAAAACAGCGAGTAAGATGCAGCGACTAATCGACAACAACAACAAGAAAGAATAAAACAAAGCAGAGGTTATAAGTAGCGATTAGTTAACAACGAATTGTAAGTGGAATCAGCAAACGAGTTATTGTAGTGATTATCCAGACGCGACTAGAAGGCAACAGATTATCCAGGGAGTTCAGAAACCAACTAGTCAAAAACAGCAAGTAATAGTCAGTGATTTCCAGCAGCGAGGTATGAGAAAGAAGAACAAGAAGCGAGTAAGGAACAGCATGTCAGAAACAACGAGTATGAACCGAAATCAATGAGTTAGTCATTTATTAAGTGGTGAATGGTGAGCAACGAGTAAGCAGCAGCAAGCAACAAGTAAGAAACAGCGAATGAGATATAATCAGCAAAAAGAATCACAATCAACGAGTTAAAGGCAGCAAGAAAGAATCATTAAACAACAAAGAATCATTAAAGAATCATTAACGGCGAGTCGGAATCAAGCAACACGAAGTGAACAAATGTGAAGAATAATCAACGAGTTGTGGGCAGCGAGAGAGATGCAGTAAATATTGGGCAACGAATCAGAAGTAACGAGTTGTACGCAGCGAGTAAGAAGCGAGTTGCGTGCAAATCGTTCCCACAAGCGAGTTGCCCTTCAGGAGCTGCCATCGACCAGCTATCTGCAGCGACGAGTTACAAATATCGAACTGTCATCAGTTGAGTGTTGCCACCACAACGTGCTACATTACAAATATCTAAAATCTCTCTTCGTTAACCAATTAACGGTCGTAAATTTTAATACGCATCTCGCTAAATGAGATCCATTGTGTGGAGTCGGGCCATAGAGATTGATCAAAAGCCAAAAGTACAGAGTTCAATATTGAAAAAAAAAAAAAAAATAAGCATGAACAACCAAAAGTACTTTAAAGCTTTAAATCGCTCCAGACATGCCAGTCTCATGAGATGCGTTCGGAGTTGATGTTGTGTTAAATCGAATTTCTTTTTGTTCAGTGTTATTTTTATCCATGCTCATCTGCGTGTTCAACTGCAATGTTAAATATTTATTTTATAAACATTAAAATGCATATCGTAGCCCTCGTTTTGGCCTCCGCGCATACCACCATATCACCAACAGCTCCGCCCCATGTGAAGACAACAGCAACAACAGAACAATGCAAAGTTCTGGTTCTGTTTTAATGCTTTTCCAGGGGATGGAAGGGGTTCATCTAGAGGAGTTTCTCACATCACGTTGCATTTTTGGAGTCGGTCACCAGCGTCTGGCGTGCGTATCATTTCCATCTCAAGCTCCATTTTCAATTTCCATGCACCATTCATCCGGTGCGGGCATCGATTGCTTCTCGTTCGATTAGCGGTTCGATGCGTGGAGAAGCCTTGGCGCGTGCATTGCCCTAAAGGGGCACTAGGGGTATCGAATCAGAGTCACGGGGCGGTACGCGGGATTTCTTAAACTCTATTTGAATGCAAGCGTCGAGATGTTGACACATCAGTTTGCCACAATTTGCATGCTGCAAATGCACAAATGCCGTTGCGTGGCCTCGTGCAGTGGTAAAATATCAATCGAAAATCGACTGCAATCCATTTGAAATTACAAATTTCTAACATCGATAGTTTTCTTGATACGTCAATCGATAATTGTATCAATACATCTATCGATCATTTGACCGATATGTTTAATCAATAATTTGAGCGATATGTTTAATCGATAAGAGTATCGATGTGTTTAATCGATAAGAGTATCCATATGCTTAATCGATAATCATGTCGATATGTTTATTGATAAGTTGAGCGACAATATAATCGATAGTTTAATCAATAATCGAATCGATAATTTCTGTAAATTCAGTTCTGTGTGGTATATAACTTGATATATCTGCGTGAGCGGATTTATCATGTGGTTTATATGGTTAAGACTTCCATTTCTATGGTAAAAGTTGCCTTCTTCCTGATCTGGTCTGGTTACCTTACCGTAGTTTCATTTGCCCTACTTACTTTTGGGTTAATGAAATACTTTGGGAATCGAAAGTGCAGCTTCCATCAAAACATATGTTTGTCTATTGCTATTCGACTTATAAAGCCCATTGGGATTGCGGTTCAAAAGGTAACAGGACGTTGACAGAAAGTTGTCAAAACATAACTATAATTAACTATGTTACTTGTCAAATAAAACTGACTAAGAGGTAAAAAAAAACAAAATCAAGATTGCAAACTGAGCCGGTTTTAGCTGCGAGTTCCCGAAGCCCTAAGCCGAACCTAAAACAGATGCGAGCTTTTTATTATCCAAAAATATTTCTGCCAGATCATAATTTTTTTAAAGGAATATTTGCATTTATTATTGCAAAGATAAATTTATATTAATTCAAATGTTGAATAAACAATGAATTTAAATTTACTTTTGATTTGAACCAAAAACCTGGGCTCTCCGATGGGAAAACCATGCTCTAGGCACAAACCTTCAGGCGAGGCATTGGTTTGAAGCAGCGAACATTTATTGGTTGGTTTTGTCGACTTGAAGTTAACTATATTTAACAGCATGTTAACAGGCATTTTTGAGAGAAGCTAAGCTTGAATGCGAATGTGTTGCAGTTGAGATGCATTTATTTTGTTCACAGAACAAATGGCCAATGCACCACTGTGGCTACTGTTGGGGACAAGACGGACAGCACCCACAATTGAGCAAGTTGCAATGGATTTTCTTCTTCTTGTTCTTGTTATTTGCATTCCCAGTTGTCAATTGTTGTCGTAGCTGCTGTTGTTGCTGTTGCTGCTGGAGGCGCATTTCAATTTCAAACGCTTTTCAATTTCAATTTCGGCCGCCCGCTGGCGTTTGTCACGTGTCCGCTGCACTCGTTCGGGGTGTGCATGTGTGTGTGTGTGTGTGTAGCTATCCGGCACAGTTGAGTTCAATCGAATGCCACACAGCAGGTGACGCAGCGGCGATGCTGATCATTTGGCCAGTTGTTGGTCAGGTAATTGCGCAAAAGTCAAATGCAAACGAATTGCCAAGCCATTTGCATAAATTTCACTTGCATGGAAGGCCGCACAGGGAAAACACACGGAGCACACTCCACACTTCACACTCGGCTCCTCGCATGCGTAATGCTTGCCACTTGCCACTTGCCACATGCTACTTGTTACTTGCCACTTGCAGCAGCAGCAGCAGCAGCAGCAGCAGCAGCAACTTGTGGCTGCCTGGTGGTGCTTGGGTTGGTCGTCATAAACATAAACAATGATTAGGCGGCTGCCGCTGTTGCGTTTGATGGCCCATTAAAACGGTTTCCAGTGCCAGTCCAAGAGCAGCTGTGCCTGATCAAACTAATCCGATCACTGACTGCCAATTGTGTTATCATTTAATTAGTCGGATTAAAACACAAATGCTGGTACTGCGCAAATGCCATTCAATTAGAGCTGTTAACTGCACTAGGCCTTACTCTTTCTTCAATCTTTTATTCCAAGTCAAACTTAGCTCAAGCATAATAATTATTACAATATCTAAACAATTTGCAGACAAGTACAAGTCGACTGCCAGCTGCAGTTTTTGCCTAGTCTCAACTAGAACTGAAAACCAACCCAACATATTCTCTGGCTGATATACCTACTAAAACAAGGTGATATGAATTTTGCAGTCATTATTTAGTTTTTAATTAATTTAATTTTTAACAAAATTTGTTATCATCTGTTTTATTTGCTTATCAGTTGTGTGCATAGGAATATAGCAAAGGTTCAACTAAATTTCATAATATGTGATCTATAGGAAAGAAATTTGCCAGCTCTAGCACTTAAATAGTCCGAGTTCCTTGAGGCTGCTTCAGATTCAAATACGAAGCTCATTATGGTCTATTCTTTTGGGAATTCAAATTCAAGTAGCTGACTAATAGTTGAAAAGGTGCAAGACATCAGCGGGAGCATGATGTCAGAGAATATTAATTACGCGTAGTACCCGAACTAAATGTGAAACGTGCTGGAAAGCTATCAGCCCTATCGAAGGCCCAATATCGTCGCGACAGATTATCGAGAGTTGGGTTCATAATTAAAACACTTCTTTTTTTTTTTTTTTGGTTATTTTTGTGGGGCCCCTGAGGGGCAGTTCTTGGTCGCCGAGGTCGAAGCAGATGAAAAACAAATCATGTCCGAGATCAACTAAAACAATAAGCGCCAATAAGCAGACAAAGCAAATGTGCAGTTAGCTTAACGGTGAAGCGTAAAGAAAAACATAAATAAAATACCTTTAACTAAAAAATAAAAAACAAAAACAAAAAAAAAGCCGACACATCAAAAAGAAGAAGCAGCAGCAGCAGCAGCAGCAGCAGCAGCAGTCGGTTCTGTAAAGCCCCGCGACCCGCTCAGCTGACATATGAACTCTCTGTGGTCAAAACTTCTTTTGGGCTTAATAAAGTTTTTTTCTTCTGCTTCTTCTATAAACTTAAAGTACCGTACGACTTTGATAAAGACGCAGACGACAGGTGAATTTCTCTCTTGCTCGCGCTCGCGCTCGCGCTCACTCTCGCTCTCGCGCTGTCTCTGTCTTTTGTTGTTAACAAAATATATTTGTAACAATACAATTTTCGAATGTCTGGCGGCCTTTGTTCGGCCTTTTTTTGTTTTGGAGCGGCAATCTGTTCGTTGACATTTGTCAAGATGAAAGAAAACAAAACTGAGTTGAGAAAAAAAAAAGCTACCAATTTGAAGCGTCTAACCAAGTCATCCCCCATTTCCAATCGATTCGTTGGGGTATTACACTTTGCGCTATGACTTAAAGCTATTTAAAGCGATTTCTGCCAAATATATTTAGAAACATCTTAAGTATTATTCATCATTATGAGCCACACCAGCCCGATTATTGTCAACTCTATCATAATCTTCATACATTATTATTATTGGACATTGTATTGTTTAAACGTTATGCCCGTTCGATTGTTTCCCCATTTTTGTGAATTATATCATCGAAGCAGAAAAAAAAAACAGCCTGAAAATGAAGGGCAAAGCAGATTACATTTTGAAATTGATTTCATTATTGGCATTTTGCAAAACAAAATACAAAATATGCTTTTGATGGCTATTTTTGGATCTTTGTCTTAGGCCCGAACAACTTTCGTATGCAAATCGGTTTATCCGTTGGAACAGACAGCTCTGCTTCTTGTTCTTTCTCGAAAAACATTCCCGATTATTGTTTCGCAGTGCTGCATAAAAAGTGATCCCAAAAAAAAAGAGTGAAGAATAAAGAAGTTGAAGAATATTAAGCCTAAGTCGCTTTAAGCAGCTCGAATCGAACTGCTTGAACTTCTGGGCTATTCTTCAGTAAAGTCAGAACTTTTCATGCACTAGCCAAAGTTTTATTTGTATACCTTGAAGTCATTAAGAATAGTCCAAATGCAAACAGCCAGAGGAAAGCATCTCCAATCGCACTTAGCTTAGAATTAATCTTGATCTGATCTGTGGGAACGCGTCGATATCACAAGCACCAAAGGCTAAAAGCTGGAAATTTTTAATATATTTATTCTATAGTATCATATGCCAAAATGAGTTTACTTTGTCGTTTTTTTGTCCAATTTCCAAAAAATCGACAAAAATCGATTGTACAGCATATATAATACATAAAACGAATATATCACTTTTTAAATATCTAGACCCGATGCCTCCAAAATGAAAAGAATTTATATTTTTAAAGGTAGAGCCTTGTGCTTTGGTATGCACACACTTTTGTCTGCCATAAGTAATCCCTGAAAATAGCATAAGGATCGGAATGTAAATGCCGAAGTTAGTCGAGAATGCATTTACCATATATAGTATGGAGCAACAGGAAGAAGAAGCACAGCTGCTGCGTGCACGTGTGTGTGCGTGCACGTGTGTGTGTGCGCATGAGCTTGGCGTTGGCTTCAGGGCATCAGCTAGTCGGACACTCCCGACTGCAGCACTCGTATTCATTCACATTGTGATATGTTGCTCATGTGCTGCAAGTCTATCTGTAAGGGTATTCAAAGCTCGGTGCTACCCTGTGATATTTGCATATTAAGTTTGTGTTTAGTTTTCAGTTAAAAGTTATTCTTTTGCGTCGTATTATTTGTGTTTGATAT